AAGCTTGGTCATCCGGGAAGGACTCAGAGTAGAGCCGCTGCTCCTCCACGTCGAGAAGAGCCAGTTGAGGTGGCTCGGGCATCTGGTAAGGATGCCTCCTGGACGCCTCCCTGGTGAGGTGTTGCAGGCACGTCCCACCGGGAGGAGGCCCCGAGGAAGACCCAGGACCCACTGGAGGGACTATGTCTCTCGGCTGGCCTGGGAACGCCTTGGAGTTCCCCCGGAGGAGCTGGAAGAAGTGGCTGGAGAGAGGGAGGTCGGGGCCTCCCTTCTGAAGCTGCTGCCCCCGCGACCCGACCCCGGATAGGCGGAAGAAAATAGATGGATCGATGGAGTTTTAAATTACTTTATTGATGCTTCTTTAATGAAAAATCTACAACAAACTAAAGAAAAAGACAAAGAAGCTGCCAAACTAGCAATCCTCAACAACTTTTTAATTTTTACACCAGGAGCTAAAGGTCTGTTTCAGGAAATCACATCCCCAGTAATCAATGGTTGTAGGATTAAGTTGTAAAAGAGTTCATACACCACTAGTTGGCAGTGTTGTACAAATATTGTACATGAGTTATTGTCAGCTAGTAAGTGTCAAATTGAACTTGTGCTTTAAAATTAGCTTCTGCTAATTTTTCTATGACATAAGTGTTTTTGATATTGCGGACATAAATATTTACATAAGCGCTTTAGAAATTGTGGACGTAAATTTTGGATTAGCGCTGCCCACCTCTGATCGTTATGTACTTAAAAGGGTCAGAGTTGTAGTTGATTTGGTCAAACATTGTAAATGACATTATTCACAATCTCATGCAACCTTTTAAGATTGTTTTTGCTCAGAGTATGTGGTGAGAGTAACTCCTTGTATTCCCACCCCAAAATTAGCTCAGTATCTGTCAAACTGACTGAGTTGAAGTGCTAAGGTTGCTTAGCTGTGGTAGCCATCTTAAATCGGATTAACTGTAATCTATTGTAGATTAACTTTCAGTGACCAATGATTACTTTTTGAGCGTTTCACTAAAATACGTTCACTGGTTCATTACATATATTTTGTTTCTGCTAAAGACAAACAAACACACAGAAAAGACTAAAACAATAAGTCCCTCCCGCCTTCGGTGAGCAGCAGTAACTGTTGTTGTTGTTGTTGTTGTTGTACCAAGTTTGACATCTGTACTGTGTTATGGGTCAGGAGTGTCCAGAGGAGGTGTTTGTAGAGGGGCTGTTGCAGCCCAGTCTGGAGCGAGGACATCTAAGCATGCTGCAGGGCATCATAGAGAAACTGGACCCAAGTCTGGACCAGTGCAGCCGATACCTGATCGCTTCCTGTCAGTTCCTTCAGAGACGAGGATACTATCACTGCCTGTACCAGCTGCAGCTCTTCATGATGGTACACTTCTCTTTGTTTTTCTCCTTTTATGCAGAACCTTTGCAGAAATGCTTTTAAATTGGTTTGTATTTGTAGAAAGAGAATCATAACTTGGAGTATAACCAGTTATCCTTTATTTTTTAATATTAAATCCTTCCCCAGAGTTTATGATGTTTTTTTCCTTCTCACAGTGCTTCATCTGAATCATTTATGTTGGCCTGAGGAAGTGCAACTATTATTTTCCAACAAAAAGGCTAAATGTGTGTTCAAAGTTAAACAAATCACATTTTTTTATGTAGAGCTTTAGATATTTGTTGTTACCTGTTCCAGCAGCCAACACACAACTTCCCATATGTATTTAGTGCCTCTTTATAAACCATTACAAATGGACACAGCTCCTCTGTGGTTTCTACACTTCTCTTTTTAAATATTCATTGGAACATTTCAGTATTGTCCATGTAGATATTGTGAATACAGACGTCTTCAGTAAGAGTTTAACTCAACAAAGAATGTGTAAATATGGTACAACTGGGTTCCAGTTTGTTCTTCACAAGAGAATTTGTTGTTTTACTACACATAAAAAAAGAACTTGTTGGAAACAGTTATGCCAGATAAACAGTAACTAAAGCTAAGAACAACAAAATAGTAGTTAAAGCTAAAATTATCTAAACAATAACAAAAAGTAATAACCAAAATTAAAAACTAAAAGCAGCAAAACTGTTACCAAAAGCCCAACTAGCTGAACAGTATTTAAAAGCTAAACTTAGTAAAGCAGGCAGGACTCACTCTAGTGTTGTTTAACTCTATGGTTGCAACCAAGAAGGTTCTATAGAACAACTGGAGCTCAGAAACCAGGTGACCATGTGATCGGCTGGTGAAGCTAACGGCTAACTCTAAACAGTCAAGGGTCTGGATTTATCATTACTTAACATGTAAATGTCTGATTAATATTTAGACCTACAGAGTGTAAAATAATATTATAAATGTCT